CGGTGCGAGCGACCCCGGCCCTTCCTGCCGCTCCCCGCCCGCCGGCCGGCCCGCGCTGCAGCCGGTGACCCGGGAAAAGGCGGCGCCGCTCCAAGATGTCGCAGACGGCCATGTCCGAGACCTACGGTAGGAGGCCCTGGCCGGCCGGGGCCGCGGGGCCGGGGGTCTCGGGCGGGCGCCTCCCGGCGGGACGGCGGGTCCAGGCTGGGGTGCGGCATGTACTCGATCCGTCTGTTCAGTTCTCTTCTGCCTCCAACCCCCTTATACTCCAGATTTCTCCTTGCTTAGTCTAACTTCAGTGGCTCAAGGTTGGGGAAACCAGCTCGAGACCCGGTTCCATCTGCGATATTGTCCCCGGCCAGGGACCTGAAGGGCTTAGGGCGACTCCTGTATTTCAGTGTTTTGACCTTTACTGTTTCTCAATTCCGTGCTTTCTGCTGGGATTACACCGAAGAACTGTCGTTGGACAAATCCATCCGTTCCGACGGAGGCCTCTCAGGTCATTTCTTTCTCTAGTGGGGTTTTTAGCCGGCTCTGGCTTGCAGTGTGGCTATTTATAAACGTGTCTTGTCTCCTTTTTAAGACCATAAGCACCTTGGAAGCAAAGCCCTGCCTTATATTTGTTTCCCCTACAGCGTTGAGAGCTGAGGTGCTCAGCAAATATTTATTTGAATAAATGAAAGGCTTCCCAATTCATAGCCTATGTTGCTTTTTAACAGCTCTGGGTGGTGGGAATAAACTATCGGTATCAGGGTTGAGGACATGTTTACCAGTCTCTAATTACTGTTTAGGAGCCCTGGTGGCACAGTCCTTGAGAACTACGGCTGCTAACCAAAAGGTCGGCAGTTTGAATCCACCAGCCGCTCCTGGGAAACCTTATGGGGTAGTTCTGCTTCATTCTGTAGGGTCACTATGAGTCGGAATCAACTCGAGGGTAGTGGGTTTGGTTTTTTTAATGACTAAGTTGTATGCATTCTTAGATTAAGACTTTGGGAGTTTTGGAGTCTCAGAGAGAGGTTCAAGTTCAGAAGTATATGCCTCCAGCCAGTCTTATCTCCATCTGTCCTCTTACATCCATCTGCCCTTGGCATTTGGCTTCTGCAATAACTGTCATCCTATTCCACAAATGAGTGTGGAATCTCTGTGGTGAAGCTAAGTGCTTTGGTGCTAGATGCTGTGCATGCATCAGGGAGTCGGCAGAGATGGTCTCTGGGTCTCTAGGGTCATGGCGTTTACAGTCCAGTGGGGAAGACAGTGTTAGTTATGACACTAATGAATGAGTAATAAAAACCCAGGCAGTTGAAGAAATATAATGATCTAGAAGTGTGTTGGAAAAAAACCTGGCAAAGGCTGGGGGATCAGGGAGAGTTAGCAAGGCAGCACCACAGAACAGCTTGTGCCCAGGCCCTGAGGTAAATGGAATTCTGATATGGAAGTGTAGATTGACACCCTGGAGGAGAGGGATGAGGAAGAGACAAGGAGGTAAGCAGGGACCTCATTGGGGCTGAGCTTAGTGAAGCATTTTGGTGTTTCTCCTAAGAGCAATGAGAAGTCTTTGGTGGGTCACGTCATGGGGCCAGAGTGGATTTGGTCTATCTTTGACCACTCTTGTTCTTTGTGGCAGTTGGGGAATGATGCTCTGTTCTTAGAAGGCATAGGAAGCCCGCCATGAAGGCAGGGCTTTGTAAGTACCAGTATTGTCAGCTGTACATGCCAGTGTGAATTGTATCCATGTGGTCCGCTTCCCTTTATAACTGGTTCTTTCTACAGTCATGGACTTCCTAAGGAAAATATGTTTCTCTAACAAATGCTGGTCATACTTCTACTTCTCCCTATTTTCAAGTGCCCCTTCCCCCACACTTTTTTCTTTCACCTAGGTAAGGTACAGTGGGGAGGAGTGGAAAGTCCAAATGAGAAAACTGGTGGGGACAGGGGTCATGAATTAATTAGTAAGAAAGAAGGACAGACAGGAATAGTTCGGGAGATAAGTTTATTATAAGTTTCATTTTTCTTAATATGAAATGATAAAATTGATAAAATATAGAATAATTTTGGCATCTCTACTTCTTTACTTTAGACCCAGTTAATTGAACTTTTCAGTATCCTGGATTAACTAATTAAATCCTGATTATAAGGCTTTGAGCATTGGTGCCTTAGTTAACTAGTGCTGCTACAACAGAAATAACCATAAATGGGTGGCTTTAACAAACAGAAATATATTTTCTCATAGTTTAGTAGGCTAGAAGTCTGAATTCAGGGTGCCAGCTCTATAGTAAGGCTTTCTCTATTGGCTCTGGAGGAAGGTCCTTGTCTCTTTGAGCTTCTACTCCTGGGTGGTCTTTTGTGGCTTGGCATCTCTCTTCCCCATCTCTGCTTCTTTCACTGGCTTGTTTAATCTCTTTTATATCTCAAAAGAGATTAATTTAAAACACACCCTACGCTAATCCAGTCTCATTAACATAACAAAGACAACCCATTGCCAGATGGGATTATAACCACAGAGAGATTAGAATTTACAGCATATGTTTTTGGGGGGCACAATTTAATCCTAGCATTCCACACTTTGACCCTTCCCAAACTTCACGTTCTTCCCACATGCAAAACGCATTCACCCCATCACATCATCTCAAACATTTTAAATCAGCTCCAAGCCCGAAATCTCATCTTCTGAATCATCAAACCAAATATGGATGAGACTTTAGCCTTATTCCATCCTGGGGCAAAATTCCTCTTCATCTTCAAATCTGTCAAATCTAGACTACAAGTTATCTGTTTCCAAAGTACAATGATGAAACAAGCACAAGGTAGACATTTCCATTACAAATAGGAGAAATTGGAGGGAAAGAAGGGGTAATGGGCACCAAGCAAATCCAAAACCCAGCAGAACAATTTACATTAGCTCTCAAGTCTTGAAAATAATCCTCTGTTCTTGAGACCATCTGGGCAATGCCTCTAGACATGTGTTGGCCATGCTTTCTGGATTCTGGGTGGAGGCCCCTCGACTCTGGGCTTCAGCTGCACCTTCCAGGCCCACTGGGGCGGCAACTCTGCTTCCTTGGCTTTGGGCAGCCTCATTCTCCTAGTCTCTCTGAGTGGTGACCCCACACCCTCAGCCCTGATGAGCCCCGTTCTTCTGCCCCTTGGGCATGGCAGCCCTGCCCCCTCAGCATTGGGCAGCAGCCTCATCCTCTTGGACGAACTGAATGGCAACCCCACACTCCAGAACCGAGCTGGTAAAGATCTGACTCTTTGAAACCTAGGATATTATGGCTCTACCCTTTGAGATTCCAGAGGCCATGACCCCACCCATTTGAGACCCCAGAGGTTGTAGCCCTTCCCCTAGACCAAAGCATCTCTGCTTCCCGTGTTCCTTCTAACAGTTCTGCTGATCGAGCTGCTTCAGGGATGGTTCTTTTCTTTTCTTGGAAGACAATAGATGTTGCTCCTTGGGCCTGTTTCCTGCCTGTAGAATTCCAAGAGGCAGACAGTTGTCTTCCCTTTTGTTACTTCTCTGTCCCCTTCGGTCTAAGCTGATGGATTTTCTGATGTGGTAGTTGGTTAGATCCATTAGTCACAGGCTTAATCTTTTTAACAAAAGTTTGTGTAGCCGCATCCTTGGTGGAAATTTTAAAGCCTCACCAAAAGGACATTTAATGTCCTCATTTCTAGCAACATTGTGTTGCTGGTGCCATATGTATTTTCTAAGACAATAGAGACTTTCTCTATAGCTCTTCACACTTCCTTCTGAGCTCTCACCAGAATTGCCTGTAACGTCCATAATTCTGCCAACAGTCTCTTCAGGGCAGTCTAGGCTTTTACTGTTAGACACCTTAAAACTCTTCCAACCTCTACCCATAACCCAATTCCAAAACCATTTCTACATTTTAGATATTTGTTAGAGCAACAGCCCCACTCCCGATAACAAATTCTGCCTTAGTTATCTAGTGCTGCTATAACAGAAATACCATAAATGGGTGGTTTCAACAAACAAATTTATTTTTCTCTCAGTTTAGAAGTCCAAATTCAGGGTGCTGGTCCTAGGGGAAGGCTTTGTCTCTCTGTTGGCTCTAGAGGAAGGTCCTTGTCTCTTCTGAGCTTCTGCTCCTGGACGATCTTCATGTGGCTTGGCATCTCTCTTTCCCCATCTCTGCTTGTTTGGCTTGCTTGTTTAATCATTTATATCTCAAAAAAGATTAACTCGAGATACACCCTACACTAATCCACCCTCATTAGCATAACAAAGACAACCCATTCCTAAATGGGATTATAACCACAGGCATACAGGTTAGGATTTACAACACGTAATTTTGGGGGACATAATTCAGTCCATAGCAATTAGTAGTCTCGTTTTATGGTTTTCTCTAAATATATTTTCACTAACTTTGCATTTAATCTTTACCTCATTAGGAAATTAGTTCTGGAAAGAGGAAGTGTGGTACTTGAAGTTGCCAATCTGAAATAAAACCGTCACCAAAACCATAGTACTGATATGTCACCTTCACTTATCATTGGCCATATTTGCATAGCATTGTTCCCTCCCTCCCAGGGACTTGCCTGTTAGATAACTGGTAAAGGAATGTTTGTTTGATCTTAAATTCCTTTGTATTCTTATTCTGTGCTCTTGTTCTAGTTTCTGTAAAATGAGGCACTGTATAGCTTTACAGGGATATGATGCAAAAAAAAGAGCCAGTGCTTACAATGTACTGTTAATTCACTGTGTCCATCTGCTTTTTAGCATATTAAAGCAATGTTTCACCCTCTATGGACTGGGTAGTAGTTACTGTGAAGCCACTAACCACGGGAATACTGGAATTCATTTTCTTTAATATTGTAATACAAAATTGAAATCTTAAACAGACAGGAAACCTGAAACCCTCGCTCTGAATGTTCTAACCTGAAGCAAGGTTCTTCCAAATGTTATTAGATTTACAACATTCCTAAAGCCCTGGCCAATTACTGTAACTTCCTTAGAAACTTTACTTCCCCATCAGAAACCTGGGAGATCCCACGCTGGCAAAAAGTAATTCCTGATGACCAGGAGTTATAGGGCTAAACTAACAAGTCAAATATGTAGCACCAAGCAAAGATGTTCAGGAACGAGTTAAAAAGTTTAATTGGTGGGGAAA